ATGATGGAACCATATTATGCTCATGAATCAACGGTCTACCCAATAGAGCGTTAAAAGAGGTCTCGGCGTCGATGATGTGAAATTTAACGGTTGTTACAAGTTCTCCAACCTTCATAAGTAATGAAATTGATCCAAGGGCTCCTTCTCCCTTTTGATTGAATCCTCGTAACATCATCTTATAGTGGATGAGCTCCTGAACGTTGAAGTCCAAATATGCTAACGTCCGTAGACTCATCAAGTTAAGAGATGCTCCAACATCCACTAAAACTCTAGACAGCACAAATTTGCCGATGTTGACGGAGATATAGAGTGGTCTATTGTGATTGGCTGTTCCAAGTAGTAAATCTTCATCTGTGAAGGTTACTCCAGATTGTTCTCTCAACGAGCAAACTTCATCTGAGGATGTGCTGGACAACTGAGCTAATCAAATATCTGGGTCAAGCAAGGCTGTAACCAGAGACTTTCTCATCTCAAATATTAGGATTAGAGCATTGTAGATGCTTAATTTGGTCAGCGACCTGGTAAGATGAGCTTGCACGTTATAATCTACTTTATATAGTCCTCCAATCCTTACTTGATTATTTGGTTCTTCCACTAGCGGAGGTGGAGGTAGCTCTTTTTGAGTAACTATTTGTTTTCCTTTATCTACGAGAGATGACCTTGAGGGTAACACTTTCTCGCTCCTTAGGTTTATCTTTGTGATTTCTTCTCCTTCTTGCAATGTTGTAGGTAATTTTTTTGTTGCTACTTCTTCATCAAAGAGATCTAAATTAATGGCCACTGGTGTGCCATGAAACTCGAGGGCTGGCTCCTCACTCTCGGTGCTATCGTAACTGATATCATCGATATATTCTTCATCCTTGTTAATGGGTTCATCGGACTTAAGTTTGATTTGAGAATCAGTTTGAGAATCAAGATTAGAGTTAGATTGAGCAATGTAAGTTATGTTATCACTAGAGATAGTTAAAATGTAGCCAAAATCATAATCATTATATTCATAATACCTTGGTGGGGCAAAAAGATAATCATTCATAGTTAGGGGTTCGAGGATTTTCTTTCCAAATATGAGACAACGAATCTAACAGAGGCAGCCCCTATCTTACCCCTGCGCTATCAGTTTTCACGACGTCATTCTTCTCTTTTTTTTTTGTTGTGTTTATTTCTTTCGCAAGATCTCCATCTTGGGTTGAGCAGGCTGTAGACTCTAAATAGCTAATTGAGCCAAAGCAATCTGAATTTGATCCATTATATTCCTGGATAACTTGCTCCAAACTGTACTCCATCCATCTTCTTCTGAATAGGGATCTATCGGAGCGATCAGCTTGGCCTAAATCAAATTTACAGAACCTTTTTCAAGTTCTTTCAAATATTATTTTAGGATAATTATAACGAAGCATTTGTCTATAGTGTGTCCAAGCAACCGGTAGTATGGGCAATAATTTGGTTCATTCCTCTTATCCACCTCTTCGGGTTTCTTTGGATCAGGCAGTTTGAATTCTGGTTTCTTCATCAAGTTTTTGAATATTTTAGGTACAGCTTCATCTTTGAAGGAGTAAACAATTTTCTGTCGCCCTAACAGGGATACTCTTTTACCCGCTGTTCGAGGTGATCCTTCCTGAGACGATCGTTGATTGGATTGACTGCTCTGTTTCTGAGAGTATTATGATGAAGATTGGCGATGATCTTCTGCATATATATTTATCGGCTGCTTTCCTTTGTCGACGGTTGCGACTATCCCTGATTTCTTTTCGAATACTCTGGTCACAAGTGGATCTAGACTTTTAGTAGCTTTGATCATTCTCAACAAGTGGATCTACATTTTTAGCCTTTTTTTCTCAATACTTGTAGATTCACCGCAATATTCAAGAGAGTAAATGTCGAAATTTGAGAAAGCTTTGGGCCAAATGAGGGAGAGGAGGGAGGAGAGGAGGGAGGAGAAGAATTTAGATACTTGCGGAGCGAATTGTGGTAGCGACAGAGGCAGAATAGGCCCCTTCGACAGAGAGAAAAGGTAGGGCGTAGATTGGGTTTAGCGAGGGTAAGGGGGCAAAAACTAGACGACAAACGCGGATCGTGGGGATAAACCCGCGGACCACGGGTAATAGAAAATAAAAAACACATTTTTTAAAAACTCAATTTAAACGCGAGAAATAAACAGTGAGGCTATAAGTTGCCCCAAACGGGCTCTAATTGAACTAAGTTTCAATAGTTCAAGATGGCCACAATCAAGTTAAGATTTTGCACTTCATAAGGAGAGATATTTAGAGTGATGTAAAGAGGCAATGTGCAGAGGAGAGCAGATTAAAAAAATTATCAAAATATAACAATGATTATAACTTGGGAGAAAGAAAAAGGATCTAACAATGGCAATGGTGTCAACAAAAAAAAGATTTTACTTCAAAGTTCAAAGGAAGATGATGACTCAAGAATGTTGTTTGCTAAAATTTCATTTGGTTGCTTGAAGATGAAATTATGTTATGAAACTAAGCATATTGTTTTCAATCATTTTGAGTGCCGAATTGAAATTCTCACTTTTATCAAAATTTTGAGAGTGTGGAGTTTGGCATCAATATTAGCCTTCAAATATATTCAATCAAATGATGGATTTAACAAAATTTGTCATGTTTCATGATATGATTACTATATCGAATCAAATGATGGATTTGACCATGTTTGTCATTTTTCATAATATGATTTCTATTTTTAAAGCAACCAAATGAGCCATAAGGATGATGATCATAAAAACAATGATTCAATAATAAAATTTTAAGGGAGCAACAATTTGTAACAATAAAGTTGGTGGAGGCTAGATTTGAGGAATTGTTAAACCGACCATAAGTAAGATTGTGGCGCAAATGTTGTTATTTTGTAATTAGGGTAATTATGCATATCAAAGATGGAGATTGTTGTGATAATGATCTATGTGGGAGAGCAATAAAGAATGTGACGATAAAGGGAATCATGGAATTAGAGTAGGAATTGCACAATATATGCTTTGGGTTATGCTTGATCAAGTCACGGAAATTTAAGATTCTAGCTATTCCAATACTCAAATTTGACCATGATCCATCGAGGACTAAAACAAACCAAATATTTTATTTTCATTTAGATTAATTCTTTGGCAATTTTTTCACACCTTTGATCTTTATGCTGATTATCAAGTGCTACGGTAAAAAGAGCCTTTATATGAAATTAATTATTACTCAAAGATTGCTTATGTCTGCGTAAGTATATGTTATAGTCCATAATATTCTGGTAGTTTTTAATAGCACATATGTTAGTACTCTTTAATAGCACATGCTTTGGTGTCATCTAGAATTATATTGTTGAATTGTATTGTGTCAAATAGGTGCAACCTTACGCCAAACAAAATAATAGCAAAAACAAAGTGATTGCAATCTTATTACTCTATTTATTTTGTGGTCAACCAAATAAACTCCAATGCAAAATATACATGTAGTTTCTAACTCTTTGAACAATAAATTGTAAACTCAATATATTTAAGAAATGTTTTGATAAAAAAAAATGAAGAATGGAAGGCAAATTACAGAAATTTTATGGCTTAATTCTTATCATACAATAATGATATGGGTATAATGACTACTCATATATTGGGTTGTGATACTTAAATTAGAAAAAAAAACCTACTACAAGATCAAGGGAGATGTCATATAAATCATTTTTTTTAATCTAAATAGTATTATCTACAACTAACATAATTCAACTCTAAGGGCTTTAGTTTCCCATCTAGGATCAACGAGACAAATCAAATAGCTAAAGATCAAAAAATTAGGTCCTGTAATCTTTTAATGCTAGTTTTCTTGACTGGTTGGGATGAAAATTTAATAGTAGAATGAATCTCTCTAAAGTAGTGAGGTACTAAATTGGTGACAACAATTTATAAACATTATTTAGGCTAGATATTTAGCTAGTCTATTATGAATGGAGAATAACTATTTGAGATAATGAACATATCCAAGCCGTCTTCATAAAAAAAGGATGCATTAGCTTCCTAAGTGAACACCATACTGTTGGCTAGGCAATGGAACAAAAATAACAATGCTAGTGAATATCAATCAAAAACTATCAACTATGGTAATTTTCATCTGAGCAAAAAGTCACATCTTCTACCTTTAAATGACAATGTCTGAGCTGCCAAAATAATTCTCTTTCCATTCAGCTTCAAGCTTTGTCCAGGAATTCACAGCAGAGCCTTTAACAGCCTTCCGCATCTTATCAAAGAGATATTTGGCCTCAATAACCTTAGAATCCTTCACCAATCCGTTGATGAGAGCTTTTAAGGTTTCAAATGGAGGGACATACTTTCTAATTAAGCTTTCCCTGCATATCTCCTCTGCTGAAGTAAAGTCTCCGCTATCCACCAAGCCACGAATAAGCATAACATAAGTATCAGCATTGGGTAAAAAACCTCTCTCCCCTTTGGCTCGTTTCATAGATTTCATTCTCTTAAAAACCCTAGTTGCAGATTCCAAATTTCCTTCTTTGCAAAACCCATCAATTATTATATTAAAGGATAAAACATATGGTCGAATTCCTTTTGAAATCATCACCTCAAGTAGCTCTTCAGCCTTGAAGCTCTCCAACCTCTTGCAAAAATTCAACATCCTCAAATTGTACGTGACTACATTAGGAGCAATGCCTTTGCTGTTCATCTCCTTAAATGTATCCACAAACCCAACCCCATCTTCTTTTTTCAAATAACCACTCAAGACCACGTTGTAAGAAATGACATCAGGCTGTAATCCTTTCTTTGGTAATTCATCGAGCACCTTGCGGGCGTCATCCATTTCACCAGAATCACTCAAAGCGGAAATATAAATATTATGCGCGGCCACGCCAGGGAAAATGCAAAACTCACCGGGAATGCGATTGAAGAGATCGCGAACTTGGTCAAAGCGACGTTGCTTGAGGAAGGCTGTGAGAAGAGCGCAGAGAGACTTCTCCGTGCGTACTGTGCCGGGGATTTGCTCAAAGGTTCGAAAGGCAAGGTCAGGCATGGAAGCGTTGGTGTAAAGTAACATTATGCGGATGAAAAAGCCCTCGGATTTAGGTGCCGCGGGGTAGGCTTTCTGAGATTCGAGAAGGCGCTCGACAAGATCGAGGCGGCGGCAGCGGTAGAGCTTTTTGATGGATATGTCGTAGAGTGGGCGACTAGAATGGAAACGAGGGAGGTTAGTGGAGGACTGGAGGAGGTCAACTATCTTCTCGGGGTCAGATTCCGAGAGTAGAGCATATTTAAGGTGGGATATGGGTTTGGAGGGAGCAGGAGAGGTGTCAATGACGGAAGTCGAAGGAGGAGGAGCGTTGAGGGCGGCGGTAGTGGACAGGCGGCGTCTAAGGATGAAAGAAGCGAAGCTGCCGCGCATGGCTGCTCCTTTAGAGGGGACTGGAGGACTGGAGCTTCTGGGAGGAGGGTTTGTCGGCGGAGATTGCACGGGCTGTGGGAAGAGTGAGCCGAAGTGAGGAAAATTTATTGCAAGTTGAACTAAGTCCCACTATATATTAAAATTTAAAATAAAAAACATAGTTAAAATTTAAAATAAAAAACATAGTTAATGTGACCCGGCCCAAATTAGCGCGTTAAAAGATGCGTTCTTTTATGGAACCCGGCTCGAATTTAGCCCGTTGAAGCACCGAAACAGACAAAAAGTCGCTTTATACTAGAGTTGGGCGGTTTTGGAGCATTTCTTTGTTTTTATTCTTCGTTTTTGTTCGTCAAAAGAGACAATATGTCATTTTTGTTCTTTAGAATTTTCGTCGGTTCGCATTCGTAGTTCTTCCACCTCTTTGGCTGCTTCAGGCATTCTCCATTCGGCCGGCGACGGTAATGCTTCTCCATACGGTCAACGATATAGCGGTTTCTTTTCGGTGGTAGTGATTCTCCATCGAAATGAAAGGTCGGTTTCGAAAAATGCATAATTATAAGTGTTAGTTCTCAGTCGTTTGCCAAGTCATTTTTGTCTTTCTTTCTCTAGCACACAAAATGGAAGGTGGCAACGGTCTGGAAGAAGAAGCTAGCAGTCTCGCGAAGTTGTTGAGGTAATATGCTACAATGTTTATTTTAGAGAAAAGTTGAGGTTATAGCCTTGTTATATTCGTGTTATAGTCATGTTATTGTGTGTTATAGATGTGTTATTGTTGTGTTATGCTCTTATAGATGTGTTATAGATGTGTTATAGATGTATTATTGTTGTATTATGTTATTATAATTGTGTTATATATGTGTTATAGATGTGTTTTGGATGTGTTATTCTGTGTTATTGTATGTTATTGATGTGTTATTTTGTGTTATGTTGTTATAATTGTGTTATAGATATGTTATACATGTGTTATTGTGTGTTATTGTTGTGTTATATTAATTTTATTGTGTTATACATGTGTTATAGATGTGTTATGGATGTGTTATAGATGTGTTATGGATGTGTTATTGTGTGTTATTGTTGTGTTATGTTAATAACACAATGATAACACTAGCAAGACACACAATAACACAACAATAACACAACAATAACACAATAATAACATAATAACACATCTATAACATTACAATAACACAAGAATAACACAATATAAAGCAATTGTTACACAACTATAACACAAATATAACACAATAATATAACACAATAACTCATCTGTAACACAACAATAACACACATGTAACATGATAATAACTCATCTGCAACACAACAATAACTCACATGTAACACTACAATAACTCATCTGTAATACAACAATAAATGAACGATAACACGCATATAACACAATAATAAATCATCTGTAACAAGATAAAAACTCAATTGTAACACAATAATAACTCATCTGTAACACAACAATAACTGAACGATAACACGTATATAACACAACAATAACACATATGTAACACATCTATAACACATTTGTTATATGAAAATATGTGAATGAGAAATGTTATATATTAACTAATATTTTCTTCCTTATGTTTGCTATTGTAGGTATATGAACACAAGAACGTTCAATTGTGGATGTCGTCCTTCCGCAGTGAGAGGAGCACTCGATACTGTTAGACATATTGTACCTGAAGAGACCATGAATTTTTAAGAGAAATAAATGTCAGTTAGTTTTTTGGCATGCCTCCTTATCCCCAAGATAATGTGTTCACTCTGCATATTAATGAAAGAAGAGCTTTTGTGATTGGTGGGAAGTTGATAAAACTCCACCCCGACCATGTTGCACTAATGTTAGGCATGCCCAACAGAGGAGAATCATTTAGTTGGAGGAAAACTCCCTCATCTCGTGTAGATGCAAGAGCAATAAAGGAAGATGTGACTAAGTTTTCAAGAGTGTGACTAAAGGAAGATGTGACTAAGTTTTCAAGAGAGTCTTCCACTCCTTTTGACAAATTATTTCTTAAGTTTTTGCTAACAAATTTATTCTTTCCCTTAAGCAATTTCGGTGTGCCCACAGGGCTTTATGCATTTAGGGAGAACGTACAAACCTTCTCTTCGTTTAACAGGCATGCTGCTATCTGTGATTATTTGATAGATCAAATGAACTTTGTTGCAATCAAAATAAGGCGAAATCAGCCACTTGGTTACATAAGTGGTTTTGTTTTTCTTTTATTTGTAAGTTCATCTTGTCCATATTTAAAAATTTTCTTTTCACTTACTATTTTTGTTTTTTCTTGCCTTATGAAAAATTGGTTTTTGATATGTGTCAACTACAACTTTGTTTTTTTTAGCATACTACTTTGTTTACTCTTGCTGCCCCTGAGGCTAGACCACGCATGCTGAAATGGCCAAAAATTCATGGGTGGGCAACACCACAGATTAAGGAATCCTTTAGGGTGCTTGATCATGTACATGTAACTAAATTTATTTGTTATAAGATTTTATTTGGGTAAGTTTTATTTCTATGTTTGTTTACTAACATTGTGATATTTAATGTAGGTTAATGACACCTTCATCGACGTGAAGGAAGATGAACTCCACTTATTGTTTAATGCTGACCATGGACCCCCCAGCCCCGCTATGACTCTTCCTAGTACTGCTCGTCGTGAAACTCCGGTCGGACTGCCATCACCTAAATCACATGGTGGTGGTCCAATTGTTTTGAGTGAGGTAACCCCATAAGCAACAAATAGAAGGAGAGGAAATGAACTTGAATGAATAATCGAGATACTTAAAGCTAATGAATAAATAAGTTTAAGTTTACGGGAATCTATGTTTACTATGAATAAACAAATGGCTAATGTTGAAGAGTCATTGTCCACTCTAACAGCTATGGTTAAGAGATTAGAAGAAACCAAAGATGATAAAAATCATGCAAATCTCCGAAAGAGTAAGTCCAAACATGTGAAATGGAAAAGGAGGAGAATTAATGAGAATTTACCAGTTCATATCGAAGAGCCCGCTGAAGTTCTTGTTGCTGGGGATGACAAATTGGATGAGCTAGTTGAGATTGTTTCTCAGAATCTTCTTTGCTCTATGTCCCATACGGTGAGTAACTCAGTCTTTCCGTACACTAGCTTATTCGATCATACTTGATAGTTTTAATATTTTTTGCTTTTATAAGGTTCATCTTGTGTGGCTCATTGTAGATACTGAAGCCCAAGAGGGGCAAGATTGAATAATTGTTGCACAGGACAATGTCATAATAGGGGACGAGCCACTACCGGAGGAACACGATGAAGTCGAAGGAACAACAAATCATGTTCTAGATATTGTGCCATTTATGGTAAACGACTCATTTTATACTGTTCTCCATTATTTGACCTGATAATAATTTTAAAAACTTTTGCTCTTTTGTTTACGACCATGTAACACCCAAAAGGCCAAAAATTGAGAATAAATTTGGAACTGCTAATTTTTCAAGAACCTCAAGCATTAATGGTGTCAGATGTAGTGTCATTTGAGGCAGAGACAACTCCGGCTCAAGCCGAAGAAAATCTCGAACAGATTGCAATGACTTCCGCTGGTTTAAGTACCTCTACAATCAAACAAGGACTGCAAAGCAACCCAATAGTGATCACTAGCCAGAGCAGTAGTTCCATTACTGAGAGCCGTGTGATAGTGGTATTAAAAAAATAATCTCTTTATATTTCAATTCTATAGTTAGAGTTTAAATTTTTTTTATTCTGCAGCCTCGTATTGTGACATCTTACATAGAATATCCTGGGAGGTCATTAGTGCCATGCGAGCTGCAAGATGTTATTGATGAATGCATTTCTACATACACAAGGATGTAAGTAACTTTTGATTGCAGTTTTGATGTTATTCAGATTATGCAGTAGTTTGATATTCAAATGAGACAATATTTCTTTATCAAATATGCATACATGATTTTCTTACAAATAAAGGTTTTGGGAGGGCAATTGACCTAGAGCAGCCTCGAGGATGTATTGCTAAACGTGTGGTTTGGAAAAAAATAAATTGAAGTTTTTACTGACATATTGCGTGAAAGAATTGCGAGATCACCTAAATTACACATTTCATACATCTTTGTAACGTCACAATATTGGGTAATTGCAATTATTTAATTTATCCATATGTACTTGCCTTGTACTTTCATTGTAGACACAATTTAATTTATCATGATCTGCAGATGCATAAGAATTTGGATAACACGGCTTTCGTGAAACACGTCATGAAGGAAAGTATAAACAAAGCATAAGTTATATTATTTCCTATCATTCATAACAGCCATTGGACTTTGTTGGCGGGAGAACTGAAATTGAAAAAATGGAAATTGTATGACTCTCTGCCCAACAATGTGCATAAGAATGTTGCCCAAGTTGTAAGTATATTACATAAGTATTACACACAAATAACACCCAATAGCACAAAAATAACACTTTCATAACCTTTTCAGGTGAAGCTATTTTTAAAGGATGCTGGAAAGGCTTTTCCTAGAGCCAAACCTGCGACTTGGGGACTTAAACTTGTTAGGGGTGTACCAACCTAAAGTAATAGTATCGATTGTGATATGTTCGTATGTAAATTCATTAAAACTTTGGTGTTGGCACAAGCACACAAGACTGATTGGACCCCGTATCTAAACTGGCATGAAGACATGAAAAGATTTAGAACATAATTTGCCTACGCCTTATGCATGTGGTCCAAAAATAAAATAGATTAAAAATTTGCAATTCTGTAGTACATTAATATTTACGCTATCAGAGAAAACCATATATAGATTGCTTCTTGTTTTTGGTTGTCTCTTTCGAATGCAAAAATGAATTTTGAAAATGTGTTGTTTGTTTTAAAATTTATAGATATTTTAATATAAGATTTACTATGTTAATAAGTTACTAAGTTAAAAACTTTTATTTTAAAAATATCAGGTTATAATATCATATAACAAGATAAATTTAAAAATAATGCGTCAATATTGTATATAACACTTGATTTTTAATTAACAACAAGTCAATCTTGCGGCATAACACTTAAATTTTGGAAATAACGCATCAATAATTAGTTATAACATCTGTAT